TTCACCCCATATGGTTTAGGCTCTCAGATTAAGGAGTGGTATAAGGATATGGAGTGAGTAATTCATATATCCCAAAATGGCAGGGTCGAATTTTGAAACAGACGGAGTATATAGATTTCTATTTTTCAAATAATCTGTATAAGATGGTAGGCTTTTGAATTTTGATTTCTGTTTTTCAAATCCTCTTATAATTATACTGTATTTTGGCTTTCACAATGCTTTTGGGGCAATGTCACTTCTTGTAAGGAACACGAACAAGTTTTGCATAGACCTTTTTCCCTACAACCCCCTCCCTCTATCCTAGCTTACTGCAAAAAACCTGTACTCAGAGTTGCTTTTACACAGAATACAGATACAAATGATAAGAGTGACTGGAAATGTTATATAAATTATTTTTTTATTTTTTGAAAGATTATTTAAATTATTTAATGGATAACTACTGGCTCATGTTTCGAAGATAACTGCATGTATCTGTAACCTGTTCAGTACTTCAAAATTCTTAATTGATAATATATTAACACAAAAACACATTTAGTGTTTTTAAGGTTGTTGACCTATATTCTCGTTTATTTTTAACGTGCAGTTGCTATGCCAATGCTGTGCTGCAGTGTTTAACCTGCACAAAACCTCTTGTTGTCTACCTTCTGAGCCGAGCACATTCAAGAACATGTAAAAAAAAGTCTATTTCTTCTTTAAAAGTGGATTAAATGATGAGAGCTAATTTTCTGGTCTCTAATTGTCTATTTTGTTATATCATAATAGGCTCCGTCAATAATTGGTGCTTGATGTGTGAGCTTGAGCAACATGTGCATATGCTAAGAGACGCTGCAGGGCCTTTGTCTCCAAGCAATATTTTGTCGCACATACGGAGTATAAATTGCCAGATAGGTGATGGAAGTCAGGAAGATGCACATGAATTTTTAAGGTTTAAATTGAAATAGTGAAATTGCATTTTCTTTGTCTTGCTAATTATCCTACTTGGTAAAGCAATTTAGACATTTTGGTTGGTGTAACCCTATAAGAATAAGAAGGAAGTTACTCTTACATTTAAAGTTTCTGATTGGTATCCATGCCCTTTTCTTAGGCTTCTAGTTGCATCAATGCAATCAATATGTCTAGAGGAAGCCGGTGGTGAGAATCAGGTTCACTCCATTTTGCAGGAAACAACATTTGTTCAACAGACATTTGGTGGGCGCCTTAAATCAATGGTATAGAATATCTGTGAATTCTGTGAGAATTTTCTAGCAATGACGGAGAGCATTGATGTTCCCAAATTTCCAGCAGTCTGAGAATTTAAAGTTCTGGTTATTGTATTTGATTTTATGTGATAGCAACACATGTTTTTCAATTTCACGAACAGGTAGTATGTTTGAGATGTCGCCATGAGTCAGAACGATATGAGAACATAATGGATCTGACATTAGAAATCTTTGGATGGGTTGAATCACTTGAAGATGCACTGACTCAGTTTACTAATCCTGAAGATTTAGATGGAGAGAACATGTACAGATGTGGAAGGTTTGACAAATGTTTTTTCATTAATATGATGTTTTAAATCATGTTAGTGGTTTGGATTTAATCAAGTAACACCCATACATTTGCATGAAAAGGTGTGCTTCTTACGTGCGGGCTAGAAAGCAGTTGAGCATTGATGAGGCTCCCAACATTCTTACAATTGTATTAAAGAGGTTTCAGGTTTTGCTCCACCCTGCATTATCTTGGTCTATGCTCCTCATTTTATTGATTTTCCCCGGTCGATATTTCCTAAAATAATTTATCATTATTATTTTCATTGAGCCTTGAACACACCCAATATGAATCCTGCCTAATTTTACTGACATATTAAAGAAAACTTGTCTCATCTCGTAGCATAGCTCTGGTTACATAAAAGCGTCAGAGAAGAGGACTAGATAGATATTTGTATAGTTGATTTCACATTTTCAACTAATAATATCAGCACCTAGGCAATGCATACTTTTTGGTCATCTTTTGAGCACCCATGTTTATTACTGCTTTTTAATTAGTATTATAGTCAGCATGAAAAGAGATTGTGCTATGTTATTATAAGAAGTTATTTGTTTACTGAACTTCTTAAAAAATGAGTACTTTACACCTGATCAAAAGGCTTTAAAGATGTTTGCATTATTGATGCATACATGCTGGCTATCAGCATCATCACTTATGAAGGAGATTATAGAAGGGATAGCAGTTCAGACTAGGCATCTCGTGCTTCATCTGTTGTTATATTGCAGAATTGGTATCTTTGCCTGTGTGATTTTTACCATGCAAGTGATTTATTTGTCCTTTTTATGTGGTATTCACCTAGGTTATTGTTGAATTATTAGACGGTAAATGACTTGCTATGCTCTGGGAATTACAAAAAAGAAAAATTATGGCTTTCCTTGTGCAGGAAGGAAATTATGGCAAGATAAACAAATGCATTACTTTTCCAGAGATGCTGGACATGGTCCCATTTATGACAGGCTCAAATGACTGCCCTCCGCTCTACTTGCTTTATGGTGTGGTTGTGCACGTGGATACATTAAATGCATCATTTTCTGGACACTATGTATCTTATGTGAAGGATCTGCAGGAAAATTGGTACAGGATAGATGATACAGTGGTTAGTGCCAATTACCTTTTTCGTTTCCTGTTTGTTTTTCTCTTTTAAATGCCTTAAATTGCTTGTTAGTATTTATTCTATGATCAATTGCATGACACTACCATGACAGCCTCTTTGCCTTTTAGCAAATTAGATTAGTTAACCAATAAATTTGTTTCCCAGGTCTTCTTTAGATGCAAGGTTATGTCTATTTGGAGTCATTGCGGTTCACTCCACAGTTCATCGTTGCACTTTTTCTTCTAAGGATTCAAAACAGAGCTAGCAATTAATTTATCATGAGTAAACACGTTCATTTATCACATTCTGAAGTTTCTTTCTTACGTGATAGCACTTTGGTCTAAATTGTAGTTTCCGATCCATAGACCACTTTATATCCCTTAATCTCTTTTCCTACCATCGATCCCCAAAATTAGAGAAGAGGGAAGTAGATGTTCTAATGCGTTTGATGTACTTAACAAAATGAGACATGCTAGAATAGCAGTTTGTTGTTTGGCAAAAAAAATTGACCTGGCTTACAATAATGACAAGCTATTAATTTGAAGAGGCAACATTTCTATGTTGTGAATGACTATCACCTCGGTTGGGTTTAGGGTATCAAGATGTACGTAGTTTTATCTCTAAACCTATGAAAGCAATTATAAACTGATGCTACCAAATTAGATGCTTTTATTATGTTGTGCTCTAGTACTCATGGTGATTTTCATCAGGTTCAACCAGCGTCCATGAGTCAGGTGATGTCAGAAGGAGCATATATCTTGTTCTACATGAGGTAACTCAAATTTATTAGCATTTTCCTGTTAAAAATAAAAAGCCTTTGCTTGGTTGATCTGTACACAGTGTTACGATTTGAATGAGCACTTTAATGAAATCTGCTAAGTGGTAGAACTACTAGAGAATGTTTTTTTCTTTACTTGACCACGAAAGTCCTTGTTCTTATGCATTAGGAAACACTTTTTAACTTCAAAGTTGCCCCCCTCCGCCCCCTCCTCCCATGGTTGAAAAGAGGGAAGGAACTTGTGCTGTCGTTTGTCGAAATACACGTAGTTTTTCTAGGAGTCATTGATGACAGGTTTTAAGCTCTTTTTTTTTTTTTTTTTTTTTTTTTGGTTATAAATGATAAAAACTTGCCTTACCTTTTAAAGCAATTGCTTTCGAGATGTTTCAAAAGTCGACTTCTCTTTTGGTCTTTATAGTTATAAAACTCAATTAAAGCCAATGAGAGGAAACATTTAAAGAGTCTTTAGAATTTAGATGGCTAGTTTTAAAACCACTAGTTTTGATACATAATTTGCTGACACTGCAATATTAAGGTGAATTGTAGCTACTATTGTTTGCAATTTCATTGTAGTATCATTGACAATATTTCATGTGCTTTTGTGTAAAGCTCGAGCAACAGAGCATGACTATTAAAGTTTGCCATCTTTGAGATTTTGAACTTTATGCTGTTTCAATAGGTCTTTTCCTCGACCACCAAGAGCCTATATAAAGAATGCTAGAAAGCAGCAAGTTGTCAAGTCTTCAAGGTCCTGTATCACCAAAACTCGTAATTCTTCCAAAGTAGGACTAGATGTTCTCCGGTCCAACAATAGATATAATCAAGCTGTTGAAATGCATGTGGATCATCCCGAATTATTTTCTGATGCTACAACCAGTGATTGGTCCCTTTTCACTAGTTCAGATGAAGCATCTTTCACCAGTGAAAGTACACGAGATTCATTCAGTACCGCTGATTATTCTGATAATGGCAATGTTGATTCATTTTCCTCAATGTTCGGCATTCACTCTACTCGCGTACGTCCCACTCAAAGAATGGTATCTTGTAGCATGTTTTCAGGGAGCAAGCCAGTGACAAGATATGTTTCCGAGCAGACAGGGTATATTTTGGATTCAGATCATGCAACGTATCCTCTTGAAAATATGCAGGGAGGAAACATGAGACAGGTTAGCGGTCCTTTTAGTGAAGCTTTTCTGTCTGACAGTGAGTATCAAAATTTTGTAAATTATGAGAGTACGGCCAGTGATAGTTTTATTCAGACTTTTACGAATGTTCACCTCTGATAATGTGATTTTAAATGTAGCAGTCAATAGCTTTTAGCCTCGTAGGAACTGTGCTCCGATTTTTGTCCATTTCAATTTATTGTTGAATGGGGGCAACTGTTAATATTGTAGTATCGAAGATACATGGGCTCATTATCGCAATTAGTGACAAAAAATGTCAATTTTTTAGCTAAATCACATGCACAGGCATATTCTACAGACTGATGTTGCTTCATTGCTTGTTCTGTTATATTCTACAGACTGATGGTGCTTTATTGCTTGTTCTGTTAGTGCTATGTATTGTTTCCATTGCTTCTCCAGTACCAAATTACTTCATATATTAATTCCGAACTGCCCAAAATTTATAATTATGACAAGATCGAAAACACTTTTACTGTAACAAAAGTGGCTGATATAAGATCATAAAGGCATAGAAATGCTATTCTCATATAGGAGTATTTGTTTGTTACAAATGCCCAATTTTATTCAAGTACAATGGTTTTTCTCATTCACTCAGCAGCAACATCCTCCATCTCAAAACTCAACCATATCTCATTCACCCTATTGAAGACTTCGAATGGAGAATTATACTGAGCAACGGTATAACTCGACTTAGGATTCTCTGTTTGGGCTTTCTCGATGGCAGCTGCCCATTTGGACCCTGCAAGGCTGCTCTGCAATGCTGCGGCTTCCTCTCCAACTTCATAGTCAGCGACAAACCCCCCAAACTGTCGGACTGCTACGTAAGTCGAGTCCCACCTCTGGATATGCAGCCCTTCAGCAGGGGGCGGGTCTGCCTGGTTCTCCTTCGGAACGTAGAAGCTCACCAAAAATGAAGATTCACACAAGGGTCCATCACTTGGGGAGACTTGTGTGATCACTGGAGCTGTCATCTCTATTGTTTTCTTATATTCGTTTTTCCCTTGAATGTAGTTGAACAGCCTATCCAATACAAAACCATAATTAAAATTACAAATTGAAAAATAAATTGAAATAAATAATCAATAGTTGAAAAGTAACCAAATGGACTGAAACTACTCTTGTGTCCCTATTTTTTTATTTTTTTTGCCCCACAGCTAATTTTTGAGTCAATTTTTGATAACTTAGACTGTAAATTTCCATTAATGTATAAGAGATAATATAGTCAAGTGGGATCTTGTTGGATCCGTCGAATTATATATTTTATTAATATCAGCTTTTATAATTTTTACACTTATAGATCTTGAGATATTTATGTTTTAACACACGTCTCGAAGATCGTGAAAAGTCCAATGGAGCAAAAAAAAGGGACAGAAGGAGTAATATTTAGGAAATTTTGTCTGAAAAAACCATTTATAACAACTATTTTGTGGGAAAAAACCTTGTAAACTATGTTACTTGGATTCGGATGAAGTGTCAAATTAGACACGGGTGTTCAAGTATCGGACTCGCCCATTTTCTTGAAAAAAGTTTTGTTTTTAGTTAAAAATGAAGTGTGTCCAAGTGTCAGTGTTTGTGTCGGTGTCCGACATGAGTCATGTCGACACGGACACATGAGGTAAATGAAAGAGTCCGAGTAACATAAAATTTTTTTGGCAAGAAGAAACCAGATTGTAAAATATTTTTGTTGAAGACACCCCGAGATCTCTAATCACTCAATTAGCCACCCTCTCCTTCTCTCCCTCCCATGGCAGCAGCCCTCTCCCCCATCTCCAGCCGTCGCCTAAAACCCCCCACCCTCGTAGACCAACCTCCACCGTTGAACCGACCCTTCCCTTTCCCCTTTACATTCGTCGCGACCACCCTCCTAAATCCTAACCCAACAATAAATCCAACTCAGAATCACACCAAATTGAACTTTCCCAGTGAGTAATTGAAACAACTCAAAAGCAATTGCGGCATTTAAAGAGGGATTTTGAAGTTTTTATTAGATGGGAGGAGAGAGATTGGGGCGTTTAAGGAGGATTTGTTGAAGATTCAGGAGGGGATTTGGTTGCGTATGAAGCGTTTTGGTTGGGGTTTTGGGGTGGTTTTCTGGTTGTGGTACGTTATGGCAGAAGGTGGTATTGGTGGGTGGTTTTTCGGAGGAGGGTGGTCGGCAAGGGTAAAGGGGAAAGGGAGGGGGTTGGTTCGGCGGGGGTGAGGGGTTCTAGGCGGCGGCTGGGTTGGGGGAGGGGGTTATTGCCATGAGAGGGGTAGAAACATAGGGTGGTTTTTATTTTTGTTTTTTAATTAAAAAATATACTTAGTTATTAAATAGTTAGTTACATTTATGAGTAATTAGAAAAATTAGTTGTTAATTGAGTGATTAGAAATTTTAGGTTGTCTTCAAAAAAAATATTTTACAATCTGTTTTTTCTTTGCCAAAAAAATTTTATAAGGTTTTTTCCAATAAAATAGTTGTCATAAATGGTTTTTTCTAACAAAATTTCCTAATATTTATCATAATAATATTTGAAATATTGCACTATTCATACATATCCATTTAATTGTCTTCTACTTTTTCCGTCATTTATTGATAATCTTTATAGATAATTTTTACGGAAATCTAATATATATATATAAAGGGGAGTTTTTTCCCGAATTTTTAGAGAGTCACGTAGGATTTAATTTTCTCAACGCGTCATGTAGGATTATAAATCTTAGTGGTAGCCAATTAAATAAGAGATTATTAATTTATTTTAGAATTAAATAATTTAAATGTTATGTAAGCAAAATTGGTGAATGAGATTTTTAAGTTTAAATTAATTAAATATTATATATTATCTTTTAATATTAGGAATTTTATCTTAATATATAACAAATTTTAGTCTCATAAATACAAAAAAAAAATATTTTAAAAAAATCAAACAAACTTCATGTAGTTAATAAAAATAAATAAAAGTAGTAAAAGTAGATTCAGAGAGTAATAAAAATTACAAAAAAAAAAAAATTTACACAAGAAAGTTAAATTTGCACAAATATTGTTGTAAATTTAAGGGAATTTGAGTAAAATTTTTTTAATATTAAAGGTAAATAAAAAAAGCAAATGGAACTATTTGAGATTTTAAATTGGCCATAAGATCAATAAGGGAGTAGGGATGGAGGGAGTGATTTTATACGTTAGAAAAAGTAACCTTAGCCGTTGGATAAGTGGATTGATTGTTTTTAAGCCTTTCACTTCATTTTTCAAACGTGAAATATACATGGGTTGAGTTCCTAAGAGCAATTAATAATAGGACTATAGGTGTATAAAATATACATGGACAAGCGTGAAATTTCAAAGATTACAATTAAAGATGAGGTTTTTAACATACATAAATACCAATACGTATTCAATGATATGAAATTAGGTACGGGTCTTCAATTCTGATAAGTTAAATAAAACCAAAAATTGGAGAAGTAGTGACTAAAAATTGTGCATGTAATTCAAGACAAGAAAAGGAAACAGGGAGTACTGTAAACTTACTGCAAGAATCCAGTACGAGTAGCCTGAACAAGAGAGATATCAACAATTTTGTTGGTGGACACCCAAACAGATGAATTATAGCGACGAATTTCATAGCCATTTCCTTGTTCAATCGTATCGAAACTCGGGCATTCGATTCGATTACATGATGGTGGAAATGATGCAGGCTTTCCATTCCCAGTAAGTAATCCACCCAATTGATTTGGGGTTGAAAACAGGTTGAATAATAGAGCTAATTCCAGCAGTTTAATGGCTGCCATTTTTTAATGTTCTTGTTTTCAGTTTACTGCAGTTACAACCCCAAATGGCATATAACTAAATAAAGGGTGGTGTGCTCACTTGGTTGATGATAAGGTTAAAGTATTTTTGGATTTTTTTTTTCTCCTTGGTTGTGGTCAGGAATTTGCCAACAGAAATGGCTTTATGGAAAAACGTGTGAATGTTTTAAGGAAAAATATGAGGTTGTTTAAACGGAGGGTTGCGAGCCATTTACGATTGTCTCGCAGGGGTATAATGTTCTTTTTAAAAGGAATTTGAATTTTGTCCACCTTATGTTCCCGTTTCGAGGTAAGGAATCCCGTTTTTGTACTAGTCATTTTGTCTTCCACAAAAAAGAAAGCATTCTGCTTCTCTCTCCTCATTGCTTCTCTCTCCTCAACTATTTCTTCCTTCATTGTTTCTCTCTCCTCGACTATTTGTCGCGACGAATTTGCTGCCCTGTCGCCGGCGTACTTGCTCCCCTCTCTGTCGCCGACGAATTTGCTGCCCTGTCATCAATTGTTGCAATTTGAAGGTGTTAACCGGTGAATTTGGTCCCCTCTCCTTCGCCGACGAACTTTATCTCAGCGCTCAGCTTCAGCTTCTCCAATTGTCGCAATTCGAAAGTGTTATAGTTAGGGTTTTTTATATCTTAAATTTCTGTAAATTGAATTGAAAAAGTTAGGGTTTTTTTCGTAATTGAATTCAATGTTATAGTTTCGGTTTGATTTGTTTATTACTTTGTTTCGTTGTTTGATTTGGGGTCGCAATTTGGGGTAGTCCCAATTTTGAATAAGGACGCAATAGTGTCGCAAATTGGGAAAAAGATGCAGTTAGGGTTGAAAATGGAGTATTGGAGGGCTGCAATTGGAGTATTGAAGGGTTGTGGGGGTGGTAATTTGGTTTGGTTTATCAATGGGCTTTCTTTGTCGACTTTAATTTTGGGAAACGGTAGCGTAGTGTTAAGAGTTTAATTAAGCGTTAAATTTGAATAAATTTTGTTTCTTTTTGCAATGGATTGAATTGGATGGCGTGGTTATTGTTACTGTTTTGGTGTTGATTTTCTTTGGATTTGTAAACTTTTTGGATTTTCTATGGTTACATTCTGTTCAGAGCGAAGGATTATGGTCCTTGTTTGGTTTATGTGTTATGGTAGCATATTTAGTAATATGATTCTTGATTTTATTGAAGAAGATTTTTATGTGGATCTATGTACTGTGTTAGTAAATATGTTTCTTGATTTTATTGAGGGATTTGTTTTTAGTAATATTGGGAGTATATACAAGTCCATAATACACATGCTGATTTTTTTTATTGGATAATTGGGTGAGTATTGGGAGCATATTTAGCCTGGTTTGTGATTTATGTTTGTATGGCGTGGGTGTGTTTTTTCATCCATATGAAGGCTTGTATAAAATGTTAGTTCTAATTATAAAGGATGTTTAACATTAGCATTTATAGTCTTAGACATTAGTGACAGGCTAAAGTCGTATAACACAGTCAAAAATAATTTCTAAAACACTAACTAATAATAGTTAAGGAAGTAGGGTCAAATTTACAACGAAATAAGTCTTTATAGTCAGTAACCAAATTGTTGTTGTGAAAGTAATTAATCTAATGACAGTAAAATAAGGAGAAATCAATAAATAAAAGCCTAGTGGATAGGTTCACCAATAAACAATATTCCAGGGTTTGCGTAAAAAAATAAAAAAAAAATTAAAAAATTCAGGGTAAAACACAATAATTAATCATCAATGCATCAATTAATCAGATCACAAAGGGATTTCGCTACGTATTACAATCACAGAATTAATCTACCGGCATTAAATCGACTCTCTCGAATCTTGACTTAACCATTTATAAATTAACTCGTCGATTGAAACTAAGCCTAAATATCAATTATCATCTCTCGAATCTCAAATCAATATTGCATAACTCATTCAATTAAACTAGGCTTAATCTAATTACATAGCATTAAATTAATCAATAGGAAATTGATCAAGCATTGACAATCAAAGTAATAAATTACCCATTCATATTATTTATGGATTCCCAAGAACCCTAGAATAAAATTACTCACACCTAATAAAATCTAAACTAAACAAATCAATTAAACAAAACATGATGAATCAAAGCAATTAAATTACTGAGAATAAAAAGGAAAGAGTACCCTAGTATATTTCAAAAGTACCCTACGCCATATCAAATGTACCCTAGTTTATTTCAAAAGTAGCCTACGCCATATAAAATGTAACCTTTTAATACTTAATATAATGGTACACTTGATAATTTAAATGGATCTTATGGTTATTACAATGGTATTGCATCTTATTAGGTTGGTACTCTAGAAATTTCAATGGAACCTTTCGTATGTAATATGGTACCCTATATGATTTCAGTGGTCCTTTCTTAATAGGACATTGGTAGGGTTCATTTGGTCATTTGTTACTCACAAAGGTGGAATTTCAGTTCATTTGATATCCACAAGGGTACCATTAACACAAACTAAGGGTTTGACTTCACAAGGAAGTAATAATAGATAGGGAAAGGTCAAATCCACGGGAAAATAAGTCTTCCTATTCCTAATCAATTAAAATAATCTAAATTATTAAGTAACCAAATTGTTGTTGTGAATAGAATTAATCTAATGAGAGTAAAATAAAGAGAAATCAATAAATAAAAGTCTAGGGTATTGGTTCACCAATAAATAATATAAAAGGCTTTCGCTACGTATTATAATAACAGAATTAATCTACCAGTATTAAATCGTTTCTCTCGAATCTTGACTTAACCATTTATAAATTAACTTGTCGATTGAAACTAAGTCTAAACATCAATTGTCATCTCTTGAATCTCGAATCAATATTGCATAACTAATTTAATTAAACCAGGCCTAATCTAATTGCATAGAATTAAAACAATCAATAAGAAATTTATCAAGAATTAACAATCAACAACAATAAATTACCCTTTCATATTAATTATGGATACCCAAGAACCCTAGAATAAAACTACTCACACATAATAAAATCTAAACTAATCAAATCAATTAAACAAAACATGATGAATCAAAACAATTAAATTACTGAAAATAAAAAGGAAAGAATATCCTAGTTTATTTCAAAAGTACCCTACGCCATATCAAATATACCCTGATTTATTTCAAAAGTACCCTACGCAATATCAAATGTAACCTTTTAATACTTAATATAATGGTACACTTGATAATATAAATGGATCTTATGGTTATTACAATGGTACTGCATCTTAGGTTGGTACTCCAGAAATTTCAGTGGAACCTTTCGTATGTAATATGGTACCCTAAATGATTTCAGTGGCCCTTTCTTAGTGGGACATTGGTAGGGTTCATTTGGTTACTTGTTATTCACACAGATGGAATTTCAATACATTCAATATCCACAAGGGTACCAATAACACAAACTAAGGGTTTGACTTCATAGTTATGGAAAATGGTGTTGTTCAATATTTGGAGCAATCCAACCGGACATGTATTCTGGCTTTCCTAATGAGTGTAGACCAATGTAATTAGTAATTACTACACTTACTACTCACTTACTACTTAGTTTAGTGTTATAGCGTACCAATTTTAAGTGAAGATAATTCTGAAATAGAGGTCTTGGTGTGTATTCACACTACAAATTTAAAATTTATATGACACACTACAAATTAGTAATTTAATGACTTTTGTTCGTGATTGAAAGTACATACACTGAAGACTATGATCTGCGATGAAGCTTGGGAACCCTCACATTTGCATTGTTCAGCATGTTTTAAAGATTGTACCCCAATTCCCCGTTTACATCCTTGTATTAGTTCTGTAAAAAGAGTTAAACTCTCTCCTAGTCCTTATCTTTACGCCTTTGGTAGTCCCGAGGCTGTTGGGAGCTAGTCTTCTTTTATTCCGCTGTAAAAAAAAAAAGTACATACACTTATGCATGATATAGTATATTGTTTCAATGTACATAGTACGGTCATACAACATATTCGTATAATGTCATCCCCATTTTGAATTACATGACCTTTTCATAAAGGCAACAAAATCTTTTAATGGTACCCTTGTGGATTGTAATGGGCTTCACGCTGATTACAGTGGACTACTTAATACTATCGAAGTATATAAAATCACCAGTCCAACGGAACCCTTTATCATTACAGTGGTACTACTTAATACCGTGGTTTCCTATCATATCAGTAAAACCATTCACCAGACCAATGGAACTATTTATCATTACAGCGGTACTACAATAGAACCCTTTTATCATTACAGTGGTACAACTTAATAGTGAGGTTTTCTATCATATCAGTACACACAATTCACCACTACGATAGAACCCTTTATCATTACAATAATGGTATTACTTAATAATGTGGTTTTCTATCATATCAATAGTTCAATACAATCATTCACTACTGTAAATGATATATGAAAGTAAAATGCATTCAACAAAGCTAGTTGAATCAACTAAAAGTCTAAACCATTCAAACAAAGCTTTTGGAATCAAATGAAAGTTAAATGCATTCAACAAAGCTAATTGAATCAAATGAAAGTCAAACACATTCAAACAAAGCTAATTGAATATTATATGAAAGTCAAATGCATTCAACAACGCTAATTGAATCAAATGAAAGTTAAACACATTAAAACAAAACTAATTTGAATCAAAGAAAAGTCAAATGTATTCTACAATGCTAATTGAATCAAATGAAAGTTAAACACATTGAAACAAAGCTAATTGAATCAAAGAAAAGTCAAATGTATTCTACAAAGTTAATTGAATCAAATGAAAGTGAAACACATTCAATTTTTTTTTTTGATTCAAATGACAGTAAAATGCATTAATCTAGTCTTGACCCTATTATCATTGGACTACCCTACCCAATAACCAGCTTTAGTGCGTAAACAATTTGAATAAACTAGTCTACAATTACCAACTAATTATCAAGTATTATTATAGCTATTAATAATTATACTCATAGTAAAGTTTAGTTTACATTTTTTGAAAATATTGTGAACAAACATTACATATTATGTTGATAATAATAAAAAAAATTCTAAATCAGTCTACATTTTTTTAATATCTTCACTATTGATATATAGATATATGGTTTTAAACATTTTTAATAAGTTTTTAAATTATCATACTCCGTATAAGTTATTGGACGCATTATCATGTA